TGAAACTGGGTGAGTGGGAAACACTGACATTAGTCACAGTGATTAAGTTCGCTTTAGTGTTTCCATCCAGCTCACCCAGTTGATTTTATGTGTTTTGTCTGTTTTAATTGGAAATAAAAGAATAAGAATAAGAACTTACCGGCATGTTGCCTAGATACCAGCCACCAATTGATAACATTGTCATGTACATTGAAAAACTGCTGGGAATGAATGCTGGAAAAATTTTGGGATTATTATAAAATTTTCTATATTTAAAAAAATATATATTGTATAATCAAACTATATAATTATGAATATGGTGAGCTATACAAAAATGATCCTGATGGTAATGACAATGAAAATGATGATATAATTGAGGCTTGCCTTCCCACAACCAGCATAATGTCACTAACTGTTAAACTGAGTAATGAGCATAAGAATGTGGCAGTATTGTATACTTCAGTACTGAGAAGATGTTGTAAGTTGATTCCAGTAAATCTTACAATGTGGAGAATAAGAATATATTAAAAAGTCAATTTAAATTTTTTTGGTCACTGGTGCTCATTTTGGGATGACAAGCTTCAATTATTATGATGGTTGAAAATAATGATGATGATTGATAATAATGATGGTGATAATGATAACAATACGATTATAATAATACTATTTATTATTATAATGATGATGGTGGTGACAATAGAGGTGGCGATGATAATAATTAAGTTAACAATAATAATGATTATGATGATGAGGTAATAATGAGGTTGTAGTTAATGATGACAACAATGATGATGATAAAATAAATACATAGAAGCCTACCAGTACTTGAGATGAACATTCCTGTGCTTATCAAAAGGAATAAAAGAGTAAAACGGCCAATATTTGCACCAAATGCTTTACAAACACCCCTGAAAGAAAATGAACAAACCAAAATATAAAGATTCAAGATTAAATATAAAACTGAATTAAGTGAAATTGACAAAATACAGTAGAACCTCCATTTTATATATGCAACGTGACCAAAGGGCATATGTAAAACACAGGATTCATAAAATCCAGGTTCGGTCAAATTGTATTGACCTGACAAAATGTATGCCGCGAGGAGAAACACATGGTTTTTTTGCCTACAATACAGTAAGCTAGCCTGCTGTGTGATGATGTGGAACTTTCTGCTGTAAAATGTCATATGTTAAAAGCAACATTTTAGTTTTGTTTTCATTACAATACGGTAATACACCTTTGGCAAATGATTTCATCACTGTAACTTTGTAAACAAGCATGGCCTTGATTTAGTACACTGCATGAATCGAGTGACAGGATATACAAACTGTATGTTTAAAAACCATGTGGGCTGATTGTATACTGTATATTAACTAGCGGTATTGTATGCAAAATTAGTCATTGGCCGGTCATGCCTTCCTAATGTAGTGTGACAGTTGTTAATTAACACATTTGAATGCAAAAAAGCTCATTGAAAAAACAAAACAATGATTGTTGCTTTAACCACTATGGACTGTTTATGATTGATTGACTTGTAGAATTTTGTTCTTTCTTGCTAGTAATAATTATATAGGGCATTATGCCAAATTGACTATAGTATAAATTCTAGGAATATTCTGACTTACCGGTAAAAGTAGACCTCACATAAAGCACACATCATACCCAATACACAGCGCATGAAATAAAACACTAAAACCTGTTTAAAAAGAAATACTAATCAATACTGGATATATATATATATATATATAAAATAATAATAATAATAGTGTAGTTTTATATAGCGCACAAATCCATCTAATGTAAGATGCTCAGGGCGCTTGAAATGTGGACTAGTGACTCGGTCAATGACTTTCTTTGCCCCTAAGGGTCCCTTCGTGTCTGTGCTACCCGGTAACCAGGTACCAGCAACTCTGTCGTCCACCACAGGGGCTGTCTGTTCCAGTACACCGGGGTATCCCCCTACCCGTCTCGAAGGATGTACAGGGTTCTTTATAGTGCACACGAGCAATTGTATACACATATATATATATATATATATATACATATATATATATATATACATACATACATATATATATATATATATAAATATGCCTAGCAAAATAGTCTCAATTTTGCATGAATACAGTTAAATCAACTTGTTGATACGAAACAAGTTTAGCTCTCTTTCTTGCAAATCTATTAAAGTACAATAGTAAATATATAATATTTAAAACTATATCAAGATCAGTTACAGAAAAAATTACAATAAGATAATGTACTTGCATGTTAAGACTCCACATACAAAAACTGGTCATTTTAATAACAGAAGATTTAGTGTATGAAAAACGATCATTAGGAAAAACCAAGATAGAAACTTTAGAGGATCAATGACACGCATCAGTGTTCAGATAATGTTTCAGATGCTTAGTGTTAATTTAGAAGGGTTTAAGATGCGTCTCCCTACCTGCCATAGTAAACTCCGACATTACTGCTACTTTCAACAGGGCATATTGAGGTTTATATTAAAACTGAAAGGTTTTTATACTTTAATTCTAGTCTCGAATTTTATTCTCACAAATAATGCCAGATAATCTGCCTTTGGGAGAACGCTTGCATCAATACATTAAGAAAGCATTCAATAGGAACAGATCACTGATCTCTGTTTATAATGGCTAGATTGCTCGTACAAAATAAAGTGAAGCCAATAGTCAAGTCTAAACAAGCCTTTGTTTAAATTATTGTTAAAAATAAAGATTATTGCAATACCTACCTATTAATAAATTCAAATATTTGAACAATCTAACTATGAAAATAAAAATCAGTGGAAGAGATGGAGAAAGTTTGTGCTGACCTGACCTGAGCACTAATGATGACTCTTATTATCATCCTATCAGCAACATTGTGAATGCTGTCAGAAGTGGTGAGTTTCTACACTTATAGAGTACTACAGTGTTACGTCATGATACCACGCGATACTACTCCGCTGCTATTGTTGCAAAAAGAGTTCAACCAGATGCCACTTTCTTCACTGACAAGCCATTGATCCCAATTTCAAATGTAATTATTAGGATGTTGTATCTTATTTTTTCTTTGTAAATTTTAATTGATGATTAAATGTGTGTTCGATCTAATATAATGCGAGCTTTTGTGTTTTTAGTATATTTTACCTGGTGATGGTAAAATATTAGATTTTAAAATGCCTATTCCAGAAAGCCTATGAAGTCATTCAGGTGTAATGAACGGTAACCAACGTCTGCTGACAACAGAGAGCGCCACCTGGTGTCGTGATGACACGACTGTGGTACTCTATGGTCATTATTATCATGTTAGTGTTTAGTTAATTTACACACAGATGTCTGGTTAATTACCATACGGCATGGCTATAAATGGATTTTGTTGCATTATTGGGGTCACACCTAATGCTAGGCCAAAGATGGCAGGGTACGTCTACTAAGATAGCTGAATTTAATGAATACGGCGGGGGGGGGGGGGGGGGGGGGGGGGGGGGGGTTATGACATAAGGAAGTGGTATATAGTTACTGCAAATGTATGTTAGTTTTATCGTGCTTCTTTGGAAATGTACCATGATGGTTTCTGCCATTATTCGAGGGTTGTTTTTGTTTATTTATAGACCATAGTATTCGAGCTGAGGCTTGGATGCCTCTTAGAATTTAACTTGAACTGGAATGGTTACAGCGAATGGGTCTGACCAGGGTTGTGTAGTTGTGGTGCTTCTATTATCTGTACTGGGACAGGAATCACAGCCAAGAAGCTGAATATACTTTTCAGTGCTGCAGGTATGCAAGATGAGTGGAACAGGCAGACCTCTATGAAGAATACGGTGGACTATAGATACGATATTGTTGACGTTGGTACACATGATCATACATGTGATATTGAATGTTATTTTTGATAGCATTGGCAATAAATACGAAAGAAAAGCTGAGGTGGATGCAGGATTTGGTACAAACGAAAAAGTTCATGGAAATTGCACTATCATGCCTTAAAATCCTTACAGGTACTATGTTCATATCAACAATACAATACACATATTTTTCTTAATACAATTTATGTGGGTGCGATCGCACCGTCTGCATTCCCCTGCATCTGACCCAGACATGGTACATGATGATGGTTGTACCATGGAGGTATAAAAATATTTAATACCTCCATGTCTGTACCCATGATTATTATATGTAAAAATGTGATATGCTTTTTACACATGATTATGGATGTGATGTTGTGCATGATTGAAGTTCTCTCCAAGTTCACTTACTTACCTTATTGGCTTGCAGCAAGAGAGCATGTAAATGTCCCGGTATTGAGTGCAGCAGAATGTACGCATACGAACGTATTGCGTATATTGGAGAATACTCCCACGTTTGGAAGCCCTTACCAAACAACACATAATGCAACTGCAAATAAATTATATTTAACGTTAAAGCAAATTACTAAATTTCCAAAAAACCAACTATAAAATAAAAATAATGTCTCTAAATTTCCATCCAGAAGACACAAATTTTCTTTGACAAAAAATTTGTATGCACATATATAGTCATAATGTGCCTGTATATGGTCATGATGTGACCATATTTAGGCATGTCACATGTTTATGGCCTAGTTCAGACCAGGTGGATAAACCCGGCTCAACTCACCGGGTTTATCCACCTGACAGTCTGAACTAGTTAGCTTATCTCAAGCCGGGCTGTGTTCCGATAGTAACTAGGCCTGGCGCGCCACCATGTTTAACTTCCCTAAGCCGGGCTTCGGGAAACGAAATGACCAATCAGCATTCAATTACGTACGCTGTGAGCGAGCGTACTTTTCGCGAGCAATGTTTTGAAACACGTTTCCTGGTTACGGTTCGTTATTATGCAAATTCTCGCCTGGCTAAACCCGCTAATCTGAACGCCCGGCAAAGTTAAGCTGGGCTTAACTCAAGCCTGGCTTATCTCCAAGTCTGAACGTAGCCTAAGTCTAATATAATTTTATAATCTGGACAGAGCTTTTAACATAACGAAAATGAAATACAAGACCCCGTGGTATACATGGTTCCAATGCAAGCAATATTTGATTGAATACACAGTATTTAATATGGATAGTGTTCTGGTAGGATTGGATTGGATTTATTCGGTGTAAACACAGTGGGGGTCCTTCTAATGGTGATTGGGCAGTACACCGGGAGACAATTCCCTACTCTTTTCCGAAGAGTGTACTGCTTTCTTTAACGTCCAAATGGGTCATAAATGCACACAGGACCAACGGCTTAAAAACGTCTCATCTGAAAGACGGTGCGCTATTGTAACTTGTATTTCAGCCCTCCAACTTAAACATAAGGAAAGGCAGCGATGGGAATAGACCAGGGGACCTAGAGATCCCCACGATTCAGCGCACACACAGTGGCTACCACCGAATGATGATTAATAAAACTTTTGAGGATGGAAACATTGTTAGGATGAGATTTAAATGAGATTTGGATGAGACTGAACATTTAAGTGATGTCAAAAGTTGGCCAGCACGAGAAGTAAATAGAAACATCTTGTACAATGAATAAGCAAGGCAGCTCAGGTGGAGAAATTAGATGATTACTTGACGAAGAAGCATTAAAGTACTGTAAGTAAATATTGTGAAGGTCAGAACTAAGGCCGTCGACTGCTATTCTCAGGCTAGAAATACTAAATACTATCTAATAATATTAATAGTAACTACTAACAAGAAGTAATATTAGCTGCATGAATGAAACTGATTGAGACAGTGTTGTGCCAGTGGAGCTGGCGGGGGGGGGGGGTAAGCCCTCGTCAGGGAAAGCTGCTCCTCCTGTCGTGAATAAAAGTTAAAACCAGTCAATTAAATAATGAAATTTATGAAACCCCATGGACCACTTTGGAGAGATTTAGAGCAATGCCCAACCACGCCCACTTTGCTCTCATCTGGGACCTCGGACCCCTGTTACAGTAGGCAAGTCCTGGTGGCACCTCTAATTGGAAAGAATGAGAGAAAAACAACCAGATTTGAGGCAATGATAAAGAATAAGACCTTTGTACATAGTGACTTCAGGTGACTGACACACAAATATACAGTGCAGCCAATAGAAATTTCCATATTACGTTTTAAAGATTAAACTCACTATTTCTCCTAGACAAACGATATAATGTATAAATTAAAATACATTTCATAAATCATAATGATAAAAGTTGTAATGAAGCCGTGTTAGTCTAAACAATATACACAGATTATAAAAGGCAGCACTCTGAGACTAACTTTGATGTAATTTATTCAACACAAGCTTTCGCTGGCAGTCAATGCCAGCTTCATCAGGTGTGTGAAGTAAAAAATTGAAAACAAAATAGAAAAGAGCTAATGCATACATAATTAGCAAAGGTCCACAATTAACCAATTAGCAGTCGGATACAATGTATTATATAATGATCAGAGATAACAAGTTTGATCATGGAGGAAATATATTAAGATTAATATATTAATATAATTAATATATTTCCTCCATGGTGTGATCAAGCTACTTACAATACAACTAATAAATAGAGCTAGCTGGGAGATAAGCTATCTGTGCGGTAATGGTGCTAATATGAACAATGGAGTCGGTAACAGACTAAATCTTATAGTGGCTGAGAAAGCCTAGATCTATATTGAGGCCACTATTAATACTATCAAATTTATGAATAAATGTTTGTTCAGCAATTAATCTCTCATTTCTGTTTTTAAAGCAATTACTTAAGAGCACAGCTACTTTAAAGTGTGTAATATTATGTCCTGGTAAATTCAAATGAACTGCAATAGGCCTATCTTTTTTGTTGTGACGAATGTCAAATTTCCATGGATCATTTTCATGTTTTTCATCTAACGGCATCTATGCCATTACATGCACTAAATGTCCTGGTACTATTTACATGGGAGAAACTTGCCAAACTGTCAGACAACGCATGAATGGTCATCAATTTGACATTCGTCATTTGAATTTACCAGGACATAACATTACACACTTTAAAGTAGCTATGAACAAACATTTATTCATAAATTTGATAGTATTAATAGTGGCCTCAATATAGATCTAGGCTTTCTCATTTCTCAGCCACTATAAGATTTAGTTTGTTACTGACTCCATTGTTCATATTAGCACCATGACCGCACAGATAGTTTATCTCCATAGCTCTATTTATTAGTTGTATTGTAAGTAGCTTGATCAAACTTGTTATCTCTGATCATTATATACTACATTGTATCCGACTGCTAATTGGTTAATTGTGAGACCTTTGCTAATTATGTATGCATTAGCTCTTTTCTATTTTGTTTTCAATTTTTTACTTCACACACCTGATGAAGCTGGCATTGACTGCCAGCGAAAGCTTGTGTTGAATAAATTACATCAAAGTTAGTCTCAGAGTGCTGCCATTTATAATCTGTGTATAAATCATAATGAATATAATCATAATTACAATATGTACTTCCGGCTCCCAGTAAAATAATGAATTACAATAGGGCAATTTCATGGTGATAACAGCTTTCCATTATTAATTTCTCAAGTTAACAGTGGGTGGTTGTTTTCGTATGTTTCTCCTGATGCAAATCCAGTTATTGTCTATTATTCCATCAGGACAATAACAATTACTATCAACACTGCAGTGCCCGCTGCTTACTAGGACTCGAATTCAACCCTGGTCATCAGGTGCAAGCTCGGTGGTTTAGAGGTATGATGCCAGGCTAGTGATCTGGAGATCGTGGGTTCGAGTCCCACCCGAGAACAACTTGCGATATTTTTCACAGTTGTTTTCAAATGTACTGAGTATTCGGTACATTTCCATGTCAAGTAGGGGAAAATTAAACCTATATATGTTTTCGCAAACATAACATTACCATTTCCTATATAGTCTGGTTGTAAAACTGCTGAAATGAACTTTAGCGAGAAAAAAGTAAAGGAAAATTAATTTTTGGTTTTTCTGAATCAGCATACCCTATAGTGTCTCAGAAAAAAAATCCCCATGCCTAGGGCTTGGGCAATTTTTTTTACAGCATTTTGAAATTTTGACCTAAAATACCCTATTTTAAACTATTTAAGATGGGGGTAGGGAAAATAAATTTATATTTTTGGTCACTTTTACATATACTGTGGATATGAAATGTAACAACAACTTGGCTAAATAGTTACTCATCATTCTCATTTAAAAATTTGATCGGAATGATGATGTCATCATGATAAATTCCAAGATGGCGTCCATTAAGGTGGTAAAAACTATGTTTTTAATTATGTAAAAATAATTTTATTGTTATCAAAGTACAATATAATCCCAATACAATATTATATATACAGGAATAAAAATATTTTTCTATAACTGTGAAAACTGACAGGACCTTAGTTAAATACTTACCCATTATAGTCGTTCAGTGGTGGCTCCAGGGGGTCAGATAGGGTGGGTCCAAACACAGGGCCGACTAGACCCTCGGTCAGAGTCCCGGAATAAACTTCCCTGGGCTTATGGGAGAGTTTCTTTTTAGCTTTGTATGGCCCAAAATTTTGCTTTTAAGCCAAAATATTAGGGATTGGCAATCAAAATAATGTTATATGGATAAGCAAATCATTATTTGTGGTGTGGCAACCTCGTCGTGGCATCGGACGATGGGAGTCTAGGCCTGTCAGGCGGGAATTCCCCACCTCCCAAGCAAATTTGGAATGATGACGTCAACACACCGAATTCCAAGACTACGACAATCAAAATTAAGGGAAATATTTACCTATTTAAATTTAATCTTTCTACACATTTTTCTTCATCATCATTAGTATACTATTATGTTGTTACTCTATAATATTATTAATATAGTATATCATTATTCTTATGCGTTTTAATAAATTTATAGTTTATAATTCACGTTAATATTAGCGTTTAGTACTGTTATTCTTAATATACTGATGTCATTATTATTATTATTATTATTATTATTATTATTATTATTATCTTCCTCCTTATTGTCATCCCCATCCTCATTATATTCCCCATTATAAGGAGGATGTTGATGATGATGAGAAGAAAGATGATGAGGATGATGGTGATTACGATTGATGATAATGGTTGTTGATGATAATGATTGTGATGATGGTGGTGAGAATGATAGAAAATGATTGATGAGAATGATGATGATGATGATAAGAATCATCCCTTTCATCCTCACCCTTGTCCTTATCTTCATTCTTGTCATCCTCATCTTCATCATCCTCATGATGATGGTAGTGACTGATGATGAAGAGGATAATGATGAAAATGATAATGGTAATGAAGACGATGATGATGATGATAATAATGAGGATGATGGTAATGATGATTATGATTATGGTGATTAAGATAGGAATGATGATGAGGAGGATGAGGATGATGCGGCTGATGAGAAGGAAGATGATGAGGTAGA